GGTGATAAATCAAAAGCATATTGCTGTATAGTGTCACGGATTGGTGTATAACATTCGACCTTTTCTAATTTTGAAAAGACAACTGGTTGTTCCGTGATGAAGGCACGTGTTAATGTACGATTGATTGTTCCATCGCCAAATGCTTTTAAGAATCTTGCCACAAGTTCTTCATTATCACCGATGTTGAGTGGGTAATTAGTACTAGTTATTTCTTCAATATCATATTCGTTTGAACATAATATTGATAACAATGGGAAAATACGTTCAAAATTTTCTGTAACGGACATCTGTGATATATCAAAATGTGGTACTTCAATAATAAATTTCCACAGTTTAACATGTGATAAAGAAAAAGTTAAACCACTATCAGGATCTATTAATGTGGAACAGATAAATAATCAAAAAAATAGACGATTTAATTGCTCAAATGGTACATATATTGAAATAAACCGTATATTCATCCTGAAAATGATCATCTGTATCGCATATTAATGAGCGGATCAGACTGGATAAAATCATTGGTTCGGAAGCTACGGATGTTTCTTCTGAAGCCTTAGCACTCTTCTGCCGATAGGTTTGTGGCTATCAGAAATGAATGAAATCATAGGTTATCGACTATATTAAAAATATTAAAAAAATTCCTAACTCACTCCAAATCATATCTAGACCTATCTACATTTTCCTCTTTTTCTGAGTTATTTTCTCACAAAACTACTTGATCAAATTGCTTTACCGATAATGTTAATATAAAACAAGGACATTATGCAGTCTAGGGTTTCTTCGTATTTATCTTCAGTTCTTCATTTTGTATGTCACTTTATGGCGACCAACAGTTACAATTTGAAACCCGTAATGGCTAAAAATGCAGACAAATGTTTATGTGAGAACAGAAAGAGCTGCGGTTAGAAGTTCGCAGTTTTTCAGTGACAGCATAAAACTTTCACTCCTGTCTCATTGAAAATCAAGCAGAAGTTTCACAAAAAGAGATTACTTTTTTCAGTTTTTACATCAGACTTGCGAGGGAACCTCTTCAGGTGTCCAACGCTGATTTCAATGATCTTTTCCCAATAGTTACTATATAGTGTCCTAGTAAAAAGCCCAAAAGGATTTGGGCTCTTATTATCTTACTCCTTCCTGCGAAAGTTATTGAATTTTTTTCAGTTTTTCCTTAAAAGACTCAATATTTTAATTTTATAAAGCTTTCTTTCCATTCGTATGTATTCGTATGTAT